GGGCAGGTTTGAAAAGCGAACCGTCAAGTTTGAAACGGTGTCGTTTAATGGTTAACCGTCGAATTTGAAACGGTATCCCTGCAGCCGTTAGATTGGGTTAATCACAACCGTTGGGGCGCTTTTTGCTTTTGGTATAAAAGGCTACACTTCTGTAAAGGGGACTTTTTTACTTTCGTTTATTTTGCTTCAAATTTCCTACTGAATTGCTACTATATTTCTACGGTTTCGTGCGGTTTGCGCTTCAATCCAGACTTTAACAACAGTTTCCAGTACCAAAATTAGGTAAAGTTTATGAATTTTTTATTTTGGTTATGTCAGAGTGCTGTTCTCCTTTCTCCCTTTCTGTGGTTGATTTTGGGTTTTTTGGAGGGAAATTAGGGTTGAGAGTGAGAATGTATTGAGGGTACTCGAATTGTTAAGGATCCTGACTTCGTTCCTCCTCCCCCTGTATGTAGAGATTGAGATGTCTTCAGACGAGGCTATGAGTGTAGTGGGAAGTGAGGTAATGCCCCTGGAGTATGGTGGCATGGATTCGGAGACCAGTCCGTCTCCAACTAGCTCGGAGAGGACGGTGGGGAATATAATGGAGCAAAAAGTAATAGAAGAGGAGGAGGATGAAATCCCCTCAAATATTTTGGAGGCCGGGAGTGGCATAGATGGGTGTTATGACCCAGATTTAGAGGTAGTGGTCGAGGTGAGGGGATTTGTGAGTGAGTTGGGTAGCAGGGATAGTCTACGGGGTCTCGTGGGTAATTGCAATCTTCCTCAACATGTCCTACTTAGACTTGCCGGGGTGAATGAGAGGGCGTGCTCAGCACCCCGAGATCATTGGATGCCCATATACCTGCATTATTTGATTGCAGGGCTTAGGTTTCCCATTCCAGAATTACTGGTTGGGTTATTATTAGATTATAGTATAGGAATAACCCAGCTAACTCCCAATGCCATGAGGGTAGTAATAGGTTTTCTTGTATACTGCAGAGTTCGGGGGGTTGGGTTTCCAACTGTAAATATGTTCAAACATTTTTTTATAATTAAGGCTGGGGGTAGGGGGGAGAAGGGGTGGTACCACTTCGGTCCTCGGGCGTCCAGGAATTTATTCTCTCCTGGGCCGTCATCCATCAAAGGGTGGAAAGAAAATTTCTTCTTTGTGGATGACACCGAGTGGAGTAGGAGGGATGCCGAAGTGGAACAGTTGTCTTCTTGGAAAGCGAAGAAAACCAAGCAGAACAACTATAAGTTGAATGAGGATGAGGTGGAGGAGTTGAAGAAGCTGGTGAGGGAAGATGGGAACGTAGTGGATATCTTGTACCTCACCAGCCAGGAGGCGATAGATGCTGCTGAGCTTTATGGGCCAAGCTCATTGGGGGAAGGTGGGTGGATGTGTTTAATGTGCCATTTTGGTGCGAGCTTAACTAATGTGTTCTAACATTGATGTTTGTTCTGCAGTTGAGATGGACGAGTTCGTTGGTGCT